ATAAGCGTGGTGGAGTTTTCTTGCCTCAAAATTTTGGTTTCACACATTACACAAACACAAATTCATATCAAAATCATCGACATGGAAATGTCTTGTGACTGTTAATGAGTTAATAGTATTCAATTAAGTCCATTATAACAGGTATAGATTATTCAAAATTAGTTATTTAGATTATATTTAGTATTGATTTGTTGACTGATTGAGTTATTATTGATCTAGGTTGATTCTTTCTGAAAATGGCGTGAGAGTGGATCAATATTTGAATGTAAGTGTTCTTTGTGATGTTCTATATTATATGTATATTTACGTAAAGTCATAATCTATCTTGCTAATCTACCAAATAAATTTGGAGTATTGAATAAACTTTTCAAAGCATTATGATCAGTAATTATAGTAAATGGAATATTTGATTAAAGGTATGATCTAAAATATTCTACTGTCCATTTCACTACTAGGTATTCTAATTCAGTTGTATAATAATTAACTTTATATTAATCTGTTCTTCGACTAGTATATGCAACTACATGTTCTTTGTTATTATCATTTTTTTGTGATAAAATTGCTTCAAGTTCAAAGCTAGAAGCATTAATATATAATAAAAATGATTTGTTGAAATCTGGATATATTAATATTGGTGATAATATTAAATGTTGTTTGAGTTCTTCAAATGCTTTTTGACATTTTTCAGTCCAGTTAAATGGTTGTTCTTTTCTCATTAGATAATGGAGTGGTTTAGCTATTTGTGCAAAGTCTTTTACAAATCTTCAGTAATAAGAAACAAGGCCAAGAAAATCTCTTAATATAGTTAAGTTATATGGTATTGGAAAGTTTTTAATAGCGGTTATTTTTGCTGGATCTGGTTTAATTCCATCTTTGCTAATTACATATCCAAGAAATGCCAAAGAAGTTTTTCCAAAATGACATTTATTGGGTTGTAATTTTAATTCATTTTGTCTTAATTTGTCAAAGATAATTCTTAAATGAAGTAAGTGATTTTCAAATGTTGTCGAGAATACATTTGTGTCATTCAAGTATATGATCACAAATTTATTTAAATACTTTGTTTATTAGTCATTGAAAGATTGCCGGTGCATTTGTAAGTCCAAATAGTATAATATTGAACTCATATAGTTCTTCAGTAGTAATGAAAATTATTTTTGGTCTATCTTCTGATTTAATTTCGACTTGTCAATATCCAGAGGCTAAATCTAATATTGAAAAGTATTTGGCTTTTCCAAATGTATCTAGTAAATCATCAATTCTTGGTAATGGAAATTAATCTTTGATGGTAACTTTGTTTAGTTGTCAATAGTCTACACAAAATCTAAGCTTTCCACCTTTCTTCTTTACTATTACAACAGGTGCAGTCCAAGGACTATCAGAAGATTTGATGATATCTTGTTTAAGCATTTTGTCAATTTTATTTTGAATAAACTCTTTTTCCAATGGTGATCTTCTATAATATGGTTTGAGCGCTATTGGTTTGGTAGTTTCAAGATTGATTTCATGTTGAATTATATCAGTTTTTTCAGGTATTTCAGTATCAAATAGATCATGATATTCTGCTAACAATTCATCTATTTGTTGTTGCTGTTTTTCAATAAGATCAGTTTCTTCGATATTTGTTAATTGAAATAATGGTTCTGGTATTAATTCCATTTGTCGATATAATTCTTCATCTTTAACACAATATAGACAATTTTCATTGTTATCTTCATCATTTGCGTGTGGACATTTATTACTTCCAGTTAAAATGTTCTTTCTCATTTCTTCCACAGTGATATGGTATATTTGTTGATCTTTTATTTGAGTATAATATTTGTTCACTTCATTATCTAAGATCACTTGTTGTTTTATTTCTTTTAGAATTTTTAATAATGGTTGGTCTTCTAGATTTTTATCTTCATATTCTTCTTCATATTTCATCAGTACCAGTGGATCCAAATTCATTTTGACCTCTTAGTATTTGATCAAGTTCTTTTCATGTATTTACTTCTTTCAAGTTGGAAATATTGATTAAAGGTAAGAATATTGCTTGAGTTATTCTTTCATTTGATTAAATTTGTTATGTGATATTAGAATAGTTATATAACAAAATTCCAATATTTCCAGTGTATTCAGCGTCAATTGTATCAGCTTTGACTTCAATTTCTTTCTTTGTCAAAGATGATCTGAATTTTAATTGACAATAACTTTTAATTGATATTTCTATTGCAATATAAGTATTGATGAATGTGACATCATTTGGTGATATATTTAATATTTCTTTGCCAGGATATCTTATATCGAATCCAGCATTAGTTTCATGTGCTCTTTCAGGTATTTTTCCTTTTTCATTATTAATAAATATTTTGATTTTGATTTCATCTTTTGTTGTAATAAAACTATTATTTCCAATTGATTGTTCTCTTTTGTTTAGACAAGATACTGAAACTTGAACTTGAACTTTTTTATTATTGAACTTGAAGGTTAAAGTTCTTGTTTTCCAATCTACTATTGCTTGATTTTTATATGCCCAATCATTTCCAAGTAATAAATTATAGTCACCTTTCTCAATAACTAGAATATTGCTTTTAGTATTCCTATGAACTGAACTGAACTGGATTTTTGCCTGAGTTCGAGTTCAGTTCGAAATTCAAACTAAACTCGAACCAAACTTTGGCTTGTGTTCAAGAAAGGTTTGAAGTTCGAACTGAACTCAAATCAGACTTTCATTAGAGTTTGAGTATGGTTCGATATTTGAACTGAACTCAAACCAGACTTTCATTTAAGTTCGAGTATGATTCAATATTTGAACTGAACTCGAACTGGACTTTTATTTGAGTTCAAGTAAGGTTCAATATTTGAATCAAACTTCATTCGAGTACAATGTTTGAATCGAACATGAACCAGAATCAGACTTTTAGGTGAGTTCATGAAACTCACACCAGATCTTTGAATTAACTTATAATTTCTAAGTTCTATCAGCCTTTTTTAGCTGAATTCAAAATTAAGTTAGCTTTGCAGTTTCTAGTAATTAATATATAATTTAAAATTATTTATAATGTACCAAGCATAACATGCCAAAATTCTAATATTTTTATTTTTCAGAAGTATAAATTATTTAGAAAATATGAAAAAATATAATATTTTATTTATTTTATTTATGAAATCATCTTTCAAATTGAAGTTGTACTATACCTCTCAAATTGATATCTTCTTCTTTTTCATACCATTTATTCTTGCTATCATTTCATACATCTTCAGCTTCACTTTCTTTTTCATTATCTTCATCTGTAGTCTCACCTTCCTTACTTTCAACCACACTCTCCTCTTTATCAAACTCATTCTCCACTTCTGCTGTCTCACCCTCCACTTCTGCTGTCTCATTCTCCTCACCATCGATTATATCCTTCCCAATAACTTTTCCACCCTCCTTATCTGCTGTCTCATCCTTTTCTTCATTAATAGTCTTCTTTTTTTGTTTTTCTGCTTTCAAAAAAAATGCAAGCACTTTGGGTTGCTCTTTGAGCTGTTTTAAATGAATTTCCTTTTGCTTTTTTGATTCTTCATCTCTCTTTTACTTATCAGTTACTGTCACAGTTTTTGTTGCCAGATTCTGTGACCAGACAGCTTGATAGCCAGTTGAAGGAACAACAGTAGTTTCATGTTCGTTTCGCTTAGGAAAGCACCACAAAGTGTTTGCATCCAATTCACTCAAAATATTATACTCTAAAAGAAAAAAATTTCCTCCTATAAATTCTTCTTCCATATATTCATCTTCTTCATTTTAAATTCCTTTTGCATACACACAGACCCAGGCATATTTCAAAAAGTTTTTGTCTGTGTAAGCATGTTTCGAATAATTGAAAGCAGCATATGCTTCACACAGACCCAGTTAGTAGAGCAAATGTATTGCTGTTCCTCTATAAGTCATATCGAAACTAACTGCTCCTTTTGCTTCATATTTGTCACCATCCAGTCTGGGCAGGTCATGTTCTTTGAGCAGTTTAGCTACATCCTCTACTAGCTCTTTGGAAAATAAATACATTACATAATTATATAACAAACTTACACTAGCCACTATATGGGCTTCTCTGTCTTCGAATTCTTGGATATTCAGCAAGGTTTTTGTTACATTTCGAACATGTGTAAATACTCCACAATATCAGGTGCACAAATATCCTGCAGCCACCATGTTTCCTTGTTTTAGCTTTTCAACCTCTCTCCTTTTTACTTTAGAGTGTTCTTGGAACATTAAGAGAACTGACTCGAACATGAAGTCCAGAGCCTCCTTGCCGATGCAATTTCGATAAACTGCATATATGAAACAGTCTGTATTTGCATTACGCACTTCAGCCTCTTCATGCTTTCAAATCACATTAGACAGCAGATTTTCAGCTCTGGCTTGCTTGACATCAGAAGTAAGAGTATTATCATTCTCATATATTCATAATTTTTTTTTGAAGCAACATTTTTAAGTTAATCAGGAAGAGGGCTTAAAAGCCGAATAAGAGTCTTTTCAGGCTTCAGAAATGCTTTTTCTGTGAGCAGATTCCTTCTAGCCTGTAGGCAAATAAATATTATTACCTGTTATTTTAAAAAATTAAATCATTCTGCTATAGTTAAGATAAAAAAGAGCTAACTTACAAAATTTCTTTTCAAATATCT